CCACCCCCCCCACCCCCCCCTCTCTGCCCCCTGCTGCTGTTGGCTGCTCTGCTGCAGATGCTTCAGGTGATCCAGGCGGTGCTGGCCGACCCCAACGATCCGACCCAGCTGTCGCTCATCTTCGCCAACCAGACAGAGGAGGACATTCTTGTGCGTGACATGCTGGAGGCCGAGCTGCAGAAGCACCCCGACCGCTTCAAGCTGTGGTACACACTGGACCGCCCCCCCTCGGCCGGCTGGAAGTACAGCAGCGGGTTCATCACCAAGGAGATGATCCAGGAGCACCTGCCGCCCCCGGCCCCGGACACGCTCATCCTCATGTGCGGCCCCCCGCCCATGATCAAGTATGCCTGCAAGGCCAACCTCGAGGCACTCGGATACCCAAAGGAGGACATGCTCGAGTTCTGATCTTTGGCAGCAGGCCGGGGGCAGTTCTTTGGCACACGTAGAGAGAGAGCTTGGGGTGAGAGCATGGAGAGCATCATCGCAGTATGAGACGGTGTGTGTGTCTGAGCTGGTGGCTGTGGCTTGGGATGGCTCGGATGCTTTGTGTGTGTCTGTGTCTGTGGCGGGTGCGTTGCGGTTTTTCGCGGCGCTGCGTGCATGTATTGAGGCGGAAGCGTGTGAACCGATACGCAAGGGACTGCGTCATTACGACATGACTTGCTCATGACTTGACGCTCTCATTTCATGATCGTCCCGGTATGTGTTTACGTGGCAAAGCGGAGAGTGATTTTCCCTTTTCTGCTCGTGGCCGCCGTGTCTGTTGAAGGAGTGTGTGCAGCCCAGACGCATGGCAGATATCCTGGCGAACTCATCGTCGAGGCCGTCGCCAGCCTGACAACGCTCGGGCAAGGGCGGGCTGACCCGAGGCAGCCATGCACGTGCAGCTGCTGCCTGACGCAGCCGCTGCCGCAGAACGAACCGGCCCTCAACGGCCACTGCAACCTGTAAGTACGTCAGATGCATGAGATGAGGTGTGAAGTGCATCCATCGATCGCGAGATATGGATGGATGACTGCAGGAAGTGTGGTTTGCCTCCCCTGTCATCGGGGCTACGGTGCAACGACGCGTGTGCACTGCAGGGCAGCCCCATACTCGCGGCGACTGAGGTGAGGTGCGCACCGCACCCATTTCCATTGCAAACATGAATAGAGATGGCATACATGTGTCCCGCCCCGATTGTGCGTGTTCTGTTTGAATGGATGGGCAAATAGTATGCGGAATACGAGGTGGGCAATGCAACTGACAGACAGACACGGAGGGCGAAGACGAGCAGCGCCCTTATGATGGATGTTTGTTGCTGCAGCGATTCTGTCTATATGAGTGCACCGTGCCAGCAAATGTCACCGGAGTCGACAAGGAGGTGAGGTGAGAGGGTGGGTGAGTGGACGAAATGGCCGAGGGCACCCGGGGCCCCTCGTGGCAATTCTCTGTCTGTTCTGCCGTGTGTGCGTGTGTGTGGGTGCAGTGTGTGTCGCGGCTGGCTGACGAGTTGATACATGAGATATCGCCCGATGGAAACGGCAGGCTGCAGCCACTCGCATGCTGAATGACATGACCGTGCAAACGGACGGACGCCGCTCACGTTACATACATGTACTAGATAGAGATAGTCCTTCGTGCTGACTGACACTCACTCGACGTCGATCGACAATCGCACGCATGACATGACTGCAGGCACGCTGCTGACCTAATTAATTCACTGACTGCTACCTGATTCATCTGCTACCTACCTGAGATCACATGTATCACACCATCTCATGCACGCGCCACCTGACTGGCCTTCGTGACTACAAAACACTGACTGACTGACCAAAACACTCACTCGATTGAAGGAAGAGCCTGACTGACTGACCTTTTTCAGAAGGGGCTGGCTGGCTGGATGTCTCGCCAAATGCAAGACGAACCACCCGATACCTACCTACGAACATACGCACTTTGGAATATCCATACCAGGCATGCCGACAAATAGATAGATGATAGGGAGATAGAAACCATGGCACACCACACCACACCACACCTGCGTTCGTCCACCTCACCTGATCTGAGAAGAGAGGGCAGTATACAAACATAACATAACATAGACACACATACACACATACGTCCATGACATGCACACCGATAGATAGATAGGCAGACAGAGAGAGGCAGAGTAAATAAGGTCTAGAAGACGGTGAAGTTGTAGGCATATTGCGGCGAGGGGCCCGATACGCCCAGTGCGCCGTCGACCGCCTCCACCATGGCCCCCCACCAGTACATGATACTCCTGCTCAACGTCCGACACGCAGGATACCGCTCCTACAAACACACATACATACACACAGACCAATCAATGAATGAGAGACACACGTTTGTGCCTACCCTGAAGCAATCGATAGCCTGGAATTTCTTGAGTGAGGTTTTCATGTCGGCTGCTCGCACATACACATGGGCAGCTGCGAGCGCGCTCACCCACCCACTGTCCACGCAGTCACGACCCTTACACGCACCCTCAAACCTGACACGGACACACCAACCACACAAGCGTTGCGTTGCCATGTCAGGCATGCTCGCTGTGTCGTCTGTCTGTCTGTGTGTTCAGGTAGGTACCTACCTGTCCCAGGCCCAGAGCATCCACTTGGGTTCGAGTGCTTCGAAGGACAGGGGAGAGAGGGGCAGCAGCTGGGTGCCGTGGGCCGCGTTGGGTGAGGTGCTGTAGGCTGGGGAGTAGGAGGCCTCCATGTCGTAGAAGGCACCCACGTGACGCATCATGCGACGGACTGACACGGGGTAGGTCTCAGACGCTGACAGACACACACCACACGGGTGTTGCTGCTGGCCCACCATTTGTGGGTATACATACACACCTGAGTTGATGTGCATGAATGCGTTGGCGAAGAGGATCTCCGTCCCAGTCAGAAATGACGCCCACCTGCACACACAGCGTTAAGAAAGGAACTAATGTCAGTCAGTCAGCCTTGCAGTCAGCCTTGCCGTTGTCTCTCTCACGTGTGCAGGTCCTTGTCGCCCACAGCCAGTGCATACAAGCCAATGGCGTGGTAGGCGAAGGCGATCTCCGATGCGCTGTCGGTACGCGGCCCCCGACCGTCGGGCATCATTCCTGCACGCCCACAAAGCGAGTCGAGTAGATCGATGTGTCCCTTCAGTCAGTCAGCGGCCCTTTGCCTACTACCTGATGTCCACGAGTTGAGGTACCACCAGTCCTTGTGTCGGTGGGGAGCAAAGTGACCAGACAAATGACCCTGAAGCGTCGCGTTGCTGCACGCAAGGAAGCCGCACAAGCGACAGGCTGCCACGGTGCCTGCCTGGCGTAGGCCTTTCCTCCTCGTTTCCCTACCTCCCTACCTGTATGTGTGTTGTCCGATGATGTGTCCGGGTGTGGCCACGTTGCGTATCCACGTCCACACTATGTCGTGGTAGGAAGCACTCAAGTACACACCATTAGACACCTGCAACACACGCAGGGAGGGACACACACTCAGGCCATGATGTGTTGCAGTCAGTACACCCACCCACCCTTATTTGGATGCGCCTCGTCAGGAAGTTGGGCGAGAATCTTGCCGTGACGGCGGCGAGGAAAATGAGGTAGCCGAATGCGATGATGTGGGACGAATAGAAACCCATACCTTTAGCCACACACAACAGGCGGCCGGCGATAACCCAATCAATGGCCAGCCGGCCACGCGTGTCGGTCGGTCGCTACGTGTGCAGCTTAGCTTGCCTGCACACCTGAGTCGACATCGGCCATCTGCAGGGCGGGGCATCCCCCCGTCTCCCAATGCATGGGACCTTTCATTCACCATCCACCAGTCACAGAGACAGACCATGTTTGAGGTGCGGACGGATGTCGTGCTGTCCCCTTGGTACCTACCTACCGTACCTTTGTTGTAGCACTTGCCCTCAAAGACATCACAGCCACAGGGCACCAAACCTCCCCAGTGCGTGTCGTACATGAACTTGTTGCCCCCAGTGAAGTTGAGCCAACGCTCAAGACCGTCCCTGGCGTAGTTGGTGGCCTGATCATCAGACGAAAGAAAGGAAAGAGACACAGACAGACCTACTCCCTCCCTCCCGATTGGTTCTCTCTCCTCGTGACAGACAGACAGACAGACAGACGCACTTACATAGTTGAGTTCCCGCTTGCTGGACTTGCCCAGTGCGTCAGCGATCAGCGCCATGCGGCCAAACTTGTACATGACCTGATTGATTGATTGATGCATACATGGGTTGAAAGGAGAGCGGGATGGGATGGTTACACAGCACAGGCAGGCCCTCCTGCCGTCCGTCCGTCCGTCCGTCCCTTCTCACTCACCTGTCCGAATTCGATAGGGTCGACCCGCCCCCTCATGACCCTCTGAGGGGGGATGATATTCTTGTCGCGGACGTCACGGATCAACTGCTCTCTGATCAGGAGGGCCCACTGCTTGGGGATGGGTGCGGGGCCGTGCCACGATACCTGTGAGTACGGCAGCCGCCTGAAGGCCACTACCACCTCATGGCTGTGTGACGCAGATTCGACCTGTATGTACCAAACCACACAACACACACACCGGTGTGAGTGGTTTGCCGCCCTGTCGGCTCCCGGCATCCATCCCGTCCCACTCACAGGCACTGGCTCGGCTTCCCACGCGCACTGCTCGCCCTGAAACAAACATACACAAAAGATGAACAGAATGGTATCTGTGTTCATTGTGTCTGGATGGGTGTGGGGCGGTCTGTCTTTGTGTCTCACGTGGACAGTGTCGATGCAGTCGTGTGGCGGCACTGGGTCGTCGTCGGTCGACGTAGGGTCTGGCAGTGGCCGAGGGCGACGCGATGCAGGCAGCAACATCCACCTGGCACGGCACACAGATTGGGGGAAGGGAACACACATTGGCGGGCCGTAATTGGCGAACAGCCGGCAGCCATTCTATTTGTGTGCGTGCGGACCTGTGGAGTGCGTGTAAGAGGACGATGGCCTTTGGATGGTTGAGGGATGAGGTAGTGGAGGGCAGCCGGCGATACCGATAACGGTAGTACAGGTCTGCATGGCCGTCCTTCAGGTCGATTTCCACAGTGCCGCCGACAGGATACCACACAGCCGATGACCAGAAGGTGCTCCTGAACACCACACCACATACGCACGCACACACACAATGCGGGTAGGTATGTATGTTGGCTGCCCCCTGGCCGCCTGGCCTGCCAGGCAGGCCTGTGTTCACCTCTTGAGCTCTCGTGTTTCATCGCACAGGCGTCTGATTCCCTCCATGTGCATGGCGTTAATCTTGTCCATGTCGTACTGCCCCACCACATGCTCGTGCTTACACGCAGACATGAGACCCACACGCACTATCGTCCCCTCGGCCAGTGGGTAGTCGCTCTTGAGAAGTGAGTGGCGGCTGCGGGAGTCGTAATGGCAGCGGAGGACCACCTGAAGGATGGACAAAGGTAGGTAAAGCAATGAATGTCTCTCTCGGGCATGTCATGTGTGTGCCCACGGTGCGGTGCATCTATCCTTCTATCTTACTGGAGCTGAGAATACGAATCCCCACTCTGATCCGTCCATCAGCTGGATGTAGAAGAGGTCAGACTCAACCTGCACACATCCACATCAACGACAGACATCAGACACGCGCGGCTTATGGACGGACCAAGCTCCCCAGCCGCTGATCAATCCCTTAGAACTGACCGGTGTTTGGTTGGCGAATGTGTCTTCCGTGCAGTTGTACTGCTCGCCAGGGGTGCCAAACCTTCACACACAGACACCCCTCCACGGAGACTCCCCATCCATTGATCCCATTGATCCGTCCCCCACCCCATCCACGATCTGATCTGATCTCACCATAGGATGGTGTTGGGTAGGTTGGCATTGCGGTTTCTGTACACAGGTCTCGCCTCGAAATGGTCCTGGGGCCACTCTAGGGTCATGAAAGGGCTGCCGCGGACCAGCCAGCTGCGGAGAGTCTTAAATCTCCCCCGCTTCGACACTCTGTCGGCATAGTGAAACACCTTGGTCACCGACAGCTCGTCGAAGTCCTCCACCAGATGCCGATACGCCGAGCGAACGGGGATCGATATGCCCACGAACCATCCCATGGCGTCCGGCCCAAATGGCGTCGAGTATGCCTCCACCGTGTTGACAAAGTCGCCATCGCCCCCCTGGTAGGTCACGCTGTATGGGGCGTGGACGTGCAGCCCGATCCGATGGACATCGGCCACCACACGCACCAGATATGGCGCCTGGTTGACGCCGTGTTTGTCGCCATGTCCGGGGGGCATGATGAGGTTGGACCACCATTTGTTGGTGGGCAGCGGATGGGCGGGAGCGGGAGGGAGGGGGACGGATGTGTTGGATGTGTCGGCAGCCTGGTCATCAAAGGCGGACAGCCGACGGCCCTGTGGTGATGATGCATTCCGAAAGAAGGCACCGCTCCAGAGATCGGGCGCCGCGGGGCCGCCTGAAACATATCCAGACGCATACGAAAGCAGCAGATCTGCAAATCAAACCCGCTGCCGTTGGTCTCTGCTCCCTCCACTTTATTACCGACACCGGGGAGCTCCCATCTGGGTATGGCGAAGAATCCCACCCGCGACGGCTCAAACTCGACGTCCGTCACATTGCGGGGCACAAACGGCTCATCCACAGCATACAGTGCACCCAGTATGTACACCACCAGCCGCCACATCAACACCGCCACGCACGCCAGCCACACGACCACGAACCATCGCCTTTTGCGCCAGACGGCCAGGAGCGCCAGTCTGCGAGCAGAGGGGCCGTCCTGACTCTGCGCATACAGCTTGCTGAGGAAATCTGCAGTGAGTGACAGATCACACGAGGGAGGAGAAAACCAGGATGCGAGTGCAGGAGTGTCGAATTGGCAGATCTGCGTTGCTTACCTTTCTGCTGACTGTCGTAGTCCCATGTTTCTGCTGCAGCGACAGCGGCAGAGCGCCGGGGCATCCCCTCGACCACAACTCTACCCCTCCGTGAAACCGTGGCTCTTGGCTCGCACCGTGGAAAAAACGCAGCCAGCCGTCAGAAAACGAGCGTGTTTGAGACTCCGATGACAAAAGAGGCTGAAGAAAGCTTGGCTTCCCACCCGTGACAGCTTTGTCGACAAGCTGGGATTTGATGCGGCGAGGCGACGAGGAGCTGACCCTCTCGGTGGCGATGAAGGCGTCGTTCGTTTGCCTGTAGCGGTGGGCGATGGCGACTGCCTACGTTCGGTAAGACGGGGACGAGGGAGGGGGAACACTGGGGAGCGGAGCGAGCTCACTTGGATTTCGCCGGATGACTTTGATGGCGTTGTTCGGTGTTCAGGATGACCTCCCATCCCCAATGGGGACAGCCATTCGACCCGTGGAACCCACATAACACCACGTAAGTCGACCTTAGACGACGGTGACGGTGCGTCCGTTATTTCTGACACCATCTTGGCTATGGCTGGCTTGGTTGGCTTCCCCTGCAGTGTCTCTACCTTCCCGAGCACTCACGGGTATGCTGATGACGCTAACCAGCCCCTTCCTGCCCATCACAGCGCGTTCCAGCAGCCCCAACCGCACCATCAGATGTCCTGGTTCACCAACAGCACCACCGCCAGCGTCACAGAGATGGCCGACGTGGCCGCTGCTCCCTCCGCACCATCCCTACCCACGCCGTCGGGCAAGCGGAAGCTCAACCACATGTCCACGGCTGAGGGGCCTCTCAGCGCTGACTCGTCGTCTGCATACCCCCCCAGCAGCGACAGCTACTACTCGGACCGGATGCAGGTGCATCGCAGCATGACGCAGCACTCGGACCAGCCCATGCAGACGGCCGACGGATGGCGGGTGGTCGGCAACGGTGGGGGCATGTCTGACCCGCCATATGCTATCGAGGAGGCGCACCACTCGGCTTACCGGGGTGGTCAGCAGCGGCGGTTTGCCAAGCATGGTCATTTCACGAGCACGTCGCCCCAGTTTGCGGGCAAGGGAGGCTATGGTGGTCCGGTGGATCCCTACATGGGTCACAGTCACGACGGCGGCCATGGGAGCTTTGTCTCGCCCAGTGGAGCGCAAGCGGCTTCTGGTGGAGACATGGCCCACCACCATCCTCACTATGGTGCGCACCGCTCGTCGCCCGGCCTGCGCGCGAAGATGCGGCGTGTGGACATCGGCACTCACAACGCCACCGTGGAGCACCCCGTCGACCTGCGATATGCCGGCCGGCCACAGCCCCCACCATACCAGGCGTCGGCCCTCCGCCACGCCCCTCCGTTTGCGCATCCACAGCCTCGAGCCGACCCCTACGCCCCCCCACCCCACGCCCCCTTCCGCCCCTCCGACACGCCCCCGCTTCTCCCCACCGCAGCCAACGGCCACCGGCCGCGAAGCATCGCTGTGTGCTCGTCGTCCCGGTCTCGTTCGCTGCCGCGGGATCGGCACATGAGGGCCATGCCAATGGGCAACCACTTGTATGTTGGAGGGCAGAGTCTGCAGTCGGAGGGGCAGCCACAGCGGGCCGTGTCGTCGGTGAGCTCGTCGTCCAGTTCGTCATCTGGCGAGAGCTCGTCTGGTCGTTCCAGTAGCGACCCTCGCAAGTGGCAGGGGCCGCCAGGGGCAGGCCAGGTGCCACCATTGGGCTCCCATGTGCCCTCTTGTGCGCCATGGGAGAGACAGGAGAGCGGCGCGGCATCGGCAGGGTACTCCAGCTCGCCGCTCATGACTTACGACAATCGCAACTACATGCCCCCCGCCCCACCCCACTCACGGGCCGTCGCCCCTCCCCCTCCCCTCTGTGGATCAGGCATGGAGGTCAACAACTCCCCCAGGTATCACCCGGGCATGACGAGCGGCGCGGGGGCACAGCCGGGCTACCAGGCCGTGTATGTCGGAGGCGGTGTGGGGGCCATGCCAGTGGGTGTGCAGCAACCGCCCCAGCCCCAGCCACCAGCTGTGGGAGTGCACCATGCGCCTGCGGTGCATGTGGGGGCCAAGGGTGTGGGTAAGGGCAAGGCCAAGCACAAGGATGAAGATGACGACGAGATAGTGCATTTCGAGTGGACTGCCGGCATGATCATGGGGCACAGATATAGAGTGGTAAGTCAGCGGAGGGGACACACACACACATGATGGAGGGATGGATGAAAGGAGGGATGGATGGATGGACCTATTGCTTGCCCATGTGCTGTCTGCTGCATGCACTGCAGGAGAGTTTGTTGGGCGACGGTACGTTTGGACGCGTTGTGGCCGCCATAGACCTGCGGACCGGACAGCGAGTAGCAATCAAGGTACGCACACTCACATGCGCCAACACAGGCAGCAACGCTCGAGCGCCCCTTCTGTGTCGTCCGTCCATTCAGGTGGTTCGTGACGTCAAGAGGTACACCGATGCCGCCAAGATAGAGGCCGACATCCTGCGAGAAGTCACAAGCAGAGAGGCCGAGCTCGGCGGCGGCGGGCCTGTCGACCTCTCCCACTGCGTGAGGCTTGTCGACACCTTCTACTTCTGCAAGCGCTGCAACGACGTGCGCGCCCACACCCATTCTGTGTCGCCATACGACATGCCGGGGGGCGATGTGTGTGGTGGTGTTGGCGATGAGGGGCAGCACATCTGCCTGGTGTTCGAGAAGCTGGGGTCGAGTCTGTACGACCTGCTGAAGCGCAATACTTTCAAGGGCTTCTACCTCGAGGACACCCAGGCCGTGGCGAGGCAGGCGCTGGAGGCACTGGACTTCCTCCAGAGCATTCAGCTCACACACACCGACCTCAAGGTGAGCTGGACCACCGGCATGGCGGGGCGGAACGTGATGGTGTCGTGCCACATGCTTGGGTGGGTGGCTTCTTGTGTGTGTGTGTGTGTGTGTGTTCAGCCGGAGAATGTGTTGTTCGTCGACCCGCACACGGTGTCCACAGTGCCGCCATCACGGGTATGCTCACACACACACACACACACACACACACACAAGAAACAGCCGGCACGAACATTCGTCATCCGTCTGTCTGTCTGTGTCGCTCTCCCCGCTGCAGATATCTGGCGTCTCTCTGTGCGACCACTTCTGCCGCCCCGCCAGATCTGACATCAAAAGTACAAAGGAACACAAAACAGAGAGAGAGCCAACCACTACCCCACACCACACTCATTCGCCATGCGCTTTGAATGGAATGTTGCAGTCATAGATTTCGGTGGTGCGACGTTCGAGCACGACCATCACTGTAGCGTCATCAACACCAAGCAGTATCGCGCCCCAGAGGTGGTCTTGGGCGTCTCGTGGACCTACAGCAGCGACCTCTGGTGCCTCGGATGCATACTCATGGAAATGGTCAGCCAAACAGCGGAGGGAGGGAGGGGGGAGGGAGGGAGGGAGAGATGGCATGGCACACGCAACAGTGAGTGAATCTGGCCATGTGTGAATCTGTCTGTCTGTCTGTCTGTGCAGTATACGGGCGAAATGTTATTCAGCACCCATGACAGCCTCGAGCACCTGGCAATGATGGTACCTACATTCATTACACACGCACTGCACTGCACACCCACAAGGCATCCATCCACCCGACACACACGCACACACGGCTATGCGTTCCTCTTTGTGTGTGGTCTACCTATGCAGGAGGCTGCGTTGCATCCGATTCCGCAGGCCATGCTGGACCGCGTCCTCATCAACAACGACGTGGCCACCAAAGAGCTGGTCAATCCACGAACCAGACGACTCAACTGGTGTGTGAAATAATCATTGACCACACTTTTCAGTCAGCAAACAGGGACACGCCACGCACGTTGTCGTTGCCTTGTGTTGTGTGCATCAATCAGGCCCAGCGGTGCCGGGGGCAGTTCCTCACTGCGAGCCGTGCAGCGCACAAAGCCATTAGAGGTAGGTACACAGCCGACACATACGAGACGCACGCCACCCCGCCCACCCAGCCGTACGCGACGCGCTGTCATGTGTTTCTGCCGGCTCTGTGTCTGTGTGTGTGTGACATGTCAGAGTCTGGTGTCCCCGCGGCACCGTGCGTTTGCGGACTTTGTGCGGCTGCTGCTGCAGATCGACCCAGCCATGCGGGCCGGCCCCAAACAGCTGCTCACCCACCCCTTCTTCCGCATCAACTTCTGCGGCGAATGACGGACCGACCGACCGACCGACCAAGACACATCAGTCGACGGCCAGGCCAGCTGCAGATGGTAATGCACGTAGTGGGAGGGGAGGGAGGGAGGGCCGCGGGCGGGGCTGTGTGGCTGGGCGGGTGGCAGTCTGCCTCGATAGCCTTTTTTCTGAGGCAGGCAGCAAGCGGATGAATGAATTAGAGAGACAGGAAGGCGCAGGCAGCTAGACAAGCACTGACTGCCTTCCTCTCTGCCTAGTCTCCGACTGGCTGGCTGTATCATTTCTCTGTATTATGCTCTCTACCTGTGCCTGCCTGCTGTCTCTGTCTGGTGTGTGTGCGGTTTTCTGTGTGTGTCTCCGGCTGTGGCTGGCTGGGCACTCATCCATCGGCGCACACCGACCGACACACGCACATCGTCCTATCCTGCCTGGATCGTCCTCATTTGCTGGGATGCTACGCTGATGGATTGCCTGGTGCTACTCTGGAGGGCGAGTGGTGCAGGTCTGTCACGCCACTTCTGCCTGGCTGCCTGCACCGTGCCCAGCCCACACTGAGATGGATGCCACTTGTCTATGGCCGAGTGAGCTCAGCAGAGGAAAGCCCCAAAATGGCATTCAAGAAAGCGGAGCAAGCAACTCACCCATCGACAAGAGAAGGAAGAGAAGGAAGGTCTATCTATCTGAGTTGCTATCTGACGACATCAACAGCATCCGCATCATCAACCAACTAGGGAGGGCACAAGCTTCAGTGCAGCAGCGAGCTGAAAAGAGAGAGGGACCACTCATCATCCACAAAGCCAGCCTGCAAGACTGCGTGTCGAGTTGTCATCCCAATCATCGCATCACATGAGCTGCCTCATCCCCCCCTCACCACATCGGTCAAGACACCAAGACTAGACTTAGCTGCTGTTGCTGCTCAGGCGGAAGTGGACATCATGTGTGTGCTGCCCGGGCTGCTCCCTGGAGGCGTCGGTGAGCGACGTGATATGGTATCCGGCGGGGCATTATTTACTGACACTGCATGTGAATCTGCACTGACACATCTTTCCCTCCCCCTCGTCCACCGACTGGCACAGTCGACAGGGCGTGTAAGCTTCACAGTCGAAGGTTTGAGCTGCACACGAGAGCTGACATGGTTCAACTTGTCTTCTCGAGTCGCCAATGCTTTGTGGACGTTTCTCTGCCAGCCTCTCGTGTTTCTTGTCTGCAGGTGCGATGGAAGGAGTGATCTCTGTCAAGGGCTGGCTGATCTGCAAGAAATGCTGCCGTCGTAATTACAGTCATCGCTGTACTGTCTGCACCTCTGCGGATTGCGGAGCGAGAGACCTGTAGGTGTTCCGTTGTAGCTGTCCTGCGTGAAGTAGGTTCTTTCTCGCGCATGAGTGAGTGTACTGTATCTTGGCTGTCGTGTGCCATGCCGTCTGTTGGACCTCGCATGCGTTCAATCGCCACTGCTGGTGCATGCTAAGCTCGCAGTGAATGGGAGGCGCGGAGAGAAACCATGGATCCTGACAACTTCTCTCAACCAGCACAGCCACCACCACCGCCGCCGATGGATGAGAATTCTCTGACGCGGCCCGTCAATGTGGACCTGCTGGTGAAGCGTTCCATCCAGTATGCGTGGCGGCAGCTGCAAGATCTGCTCAACCACGTGGCGCTGCAGGAAGACCAGCCCGCGGACAGCCAGGCGCGGGAGCTGCTGTGGCTCTACTGCCGCTCGTGGCGAGAGGTGTTCTTGCGGCTGATAGTGATGGTTGGGCTGGGGTGCACGCCGCTGACCGAGGAGGTCTCGGAGGTGGTGCATCTGAGGAACCTCATACAGGGACAGACCAACATGCTGCAGAACCTTATTGAGGTGAGGTGGGAGGGTGTGGTGTGAGTGGCGGAGGGAGGGAGATGGATGTGCGTGTGTGGAATGGACTGGACAGATCTCTGTCTGTCGTGTGTGTGGTTGTTGTTGTTGTTGTGTGCAGGAGATGCACATGAAGTATGCACAGCTGATGAGCCACTTCCCGCCCGCTCCCCTCATCCCTGCGGTGCCCCACACACTTGCACTCTGCCACACTGCCAACCGCTTCCAAGCATTGAGGGGCGACGTATCAGGAGCAGCAGACAGTGCGACAAGGCGAGAGGCTATGCATGAGGTCGAGTGGCCGTCAGGACTGCCTCTGCCGTCGTCCCTCGGCACGCATCTCGCCAACTTCAACCGGCCGATTCAGCAGCCGGAGATGCCCCCGCTGCCTAGTGAGTGACATGGACACACATCACACGTACATGGAAGGAGGGAGGGTCGGGTCCATCTGTTTGTGTATGGATCTCTTCGTGCTGCTGCACTGCACTGCACTGCAGGTGACGAGATGGAGCCCTTCTCGCGGTGGGTGGATACCAATGCGCTGCTGCAGTTCTATCGTTCCGAGTGCCCCAAAGACGAGCTCGTGTTCGAGACGGCCAAGGGCAAGTGCACACTCACCCTGCCCAACCAATTCAAGGTCCACCTCAGACACCAATTCGATAAGTACGAACGAGCGGAGGAAACGTCATGACTGACACCAACATATGTGAGTGACCCCTGTCTGTGTCTCGTTGGCGGCTGTTGGGTGGTGGCCAGTTGGGAGGTGCTTGGGGTGGAGTTGCTGCTGGGCACGTCATCGTCAGCGTCCCTGGGTGTGACGGCTCCCGCTGCCCTCGCCCAGCAACCTACCCTGCACGTGCTGCTCGAGACTCTTCTGCTCGACACCCTCCACCTGCAGCTGCACCGCATACAGGCACACAAGAAGCCGGCCACAGCTTGCAAGCGAGAGGATGCCCCCATGGCCGACCAACCAGCCAAGGGCGACGGCGATGGCCAGCAGGCCGAGGAGGTGGACGTGCTCAACTCGATCTACCAGCTGCTGCGGTCGTGCTGTCGCGGGACGGTGTTTCGCTACGTACTTGAGGCAGCCCTCAACGCCAAACACAATCCCTACTCCCCCGTCATACGGGTCGACCTCGAGGCGCCAGACAAACCCGCAAAGGCGCGCGGTGGGGCTGGCAATGAGGCTGCAGCCCCGTCCTTGGCCATGGACGAAACGATGAGCGAGTCGAGCAAGGCCGGCACCATGGCAGCCGATGCTGGTGCGTCTGAGGGCGGCACCTGCCGGCTCGACATCGTGCTGATCGACGAACCGGAGGTCAAGAAGCGTCTGCGTTCCCTCCTGCCCTTCCTCGCGGCCACCCCATCCCCCTCCTCCCCCTCCTCCCCCCAGCCCCTTGCACACCTGCAGGCCGCACTCGATCGGCTCAGTTTGGCGAGCATCTGTGGCGGCCATGACAAGATGGAGACCGATGACGGGCAGAAGAGCGTGGCGACCAGCAGGGAGGTGGTCAAGCGAGAGAACAAGGACGAGACCATGTCGGTCACCAGCAGCGACCACGGCAGGCCGAGGACACTTGCGGCGCGGCGCGATGCCGTCGAGTGGGTCATGCAGGTGGACTGGGATGAGGCTGACGGGCACCTGTCGGTCTCTCTGCGGCCCCTGGCTGCGTTCCTCGCCCTCCTGCGGACGCAGAAAGAGTCGGCCGCCGCCCGCATGACCGACATGAAGAGCCACCTGGCCGGCCAGACAACCAAGGACAGCAAGGAAGGTGTCATGCAGCTGGCCGCCGGGCTGGAGGAGCTCAAGATACGGATGCATGAGCAAGAGAGGGCGTTGGAGCGGCTGGGCGCCTTCTCCAGTCGGCTGGTTCGGTCTGTGTGTGAGTTCGAGGAGCCCCTGGACGTTTTGGTGAGCGAGTGTGTGCAGATGGTCGTGTATGGGTACTTTGTGCGGCTGTTCGAGGGCGCCAGCGGCCTGATGGCCGGAGATGCGGGCAGACGGCTGGAGGTGATGCTGGGTGTCGATTGAGAGAGTCTACTGACAAACCGGCTGAGTTGCTCTTGCAGAGTGTGTTGACAGTCTTGCAGAGTGTGTTGACAAGTGGCTGCCTGGCTGATCTTCACAGCTGAATGAATGGAAGACACGAGTGTGTGTGTGTGTGTGTTATCGTGGTCTGTGGAATGGAGTGAGATGCGGATAATGTTATCCATTCATGTGTGCGTCTGGAAAGGCTAATGGAGCATCCATCCATCAACCGCGTGATCCACCACGAAAAATACAAGGAAAGCGCCAATCGACTGATCACTCAGGAAGCTCCCTTTCCCACATGAATGCCCTGGACTCGCTGCTGTCTCTTCTTCTTTCTGTCGGCGGCCCATGTTCGCTTCATACTCTGAATCGGCTCAACCTGAAACGACCTGAAGGGAACAGAGAATGCCAGCCAGGCACGTCTTCTCCCGCGAAGTGTCCCGTCCGTCGGCATGCTGGTGATTGCTCACATGTCGTCGAGGCAGTAGGCCTGCAGGTCGTCCTTCTTGCAGCGGCGGGATCGCGTTTGCTGCAAAGGAAAGCACATTCTCATGTGGACGTCACCGGACCGGCGTCGAGTGAGTGCAGGGGTCCGTGCCGTGCACACCTTGAGGAAAAGGTCGCAGCTGATCATCCACGCAGACCTGCGCACAAGAAGGACGGCGAGAGACACGCACACATAATGGGTGTGTTTAGTACGTGTCTCAGCAGGCTGTCTGTCTGTAAGCCTACCTTGGATTCTCAGACCATCTAGGTATCTTGAGCTCCCGCGCCCTGCACAGATAGATACCCATACCCATACGTGTGCTCGTGTCTGCTCGGATGAGCGCCATGCTCCTGAGCATTCCTTCTTGCCTTTTCATTTCGCCGATATTGTACACACCCTGAGATGAGATGCAATCCATTGAAGGGAGAAAGACGGGTCACTTTTTCTTCCTCCGGTGTGAGCTGAGCTGCCTACATGTGTGTTGGCTTGATGGGGCACCGGGGGGAACTTGCCTGCAGGAACAAAGAAAGGCAAGTGAGTGCACAGCACATCTGAGGCGCTCCCGTCTATGCGCACCAAACTTGACGTGTCGGAGATGCCGTCTCTCGTCTGTAAAACCACGGCAAGATCGTCGATCATGTTGTGGCTCACTAAGTGGATGCCGGCTCCTCCTGACCTACCCTCATCGAACCGCCGTACGACGTCTGGTGGCACCCTGGCGGGTGCCTGCCCCTCCTCCTGGGCCCTCCTGAACTCTTGACGCTGCTCATACCGATCCTCCATCTGATGAATTAGGCCCCTGCACGCACACGCACCGACGGTTGAGCGATGGATCTGGTGTGTGGAGAGCTGGTGGGTGTCCCACCCACTTTGGAATGCGCTTGTAGAAGTTCTCCCTGTCAGTCAGTCAGATGCACGCATGCATCGCATCCACGGGTGTCCATCGTGTGTGGTGGTCACATGCACACAGAGTACCTGTCCAGTGCCAGCACTTCGACATGAGTGGCCGCGACAATCGTGTGGCGCCACCTCCCCGAAGGACTGAACAATCCCTCGTCGCCAAAGTAGGTCCCAGGGTGCAGCACACTGAGAACCTTGCCACGGTTGAGCATGCCTGGCGCAAACTCACCCTCAACCACACTTGTCTTGCTGCTCGCTGCGACCATCTGGCCATGCGACCGATAGGACGCTAGCTGCGTCCCAGAAGGCACCGTTGCCAAGCTGAGGGCGTCCGATTTGCGGTGAGAGCTGGGGCTCATCATTCCTGCCGCTGTTATGTCCTCCACGACATCGACGTGTGAGTGGGAGCTGGCACGGGGGACAAAAGAGGAGCGGCGACGCTCTCGGGACTCTCTGTTGTCGGCGCCTGCATCCGTCAATGGGGGGCAGAGCAGACCGATGGCGCCATTGTTGTGCCTACGTGTTTCTTACTGATGGGTCTGTCGGTTTGTACCACGCAGCAGATGCCGGAGGTGAGAAAGTACATGTGGGTGGCCTCCTGCTCATGGAGAAAGGAAAGGAATTAGACGGAATGCGACCTCTGCATTGTCTGTCGGTGCCTACCTGTCCAGCCAGTGTGATGGTGCCTCCCCGACCGACTCGGATCTTCTTGAGCACGAATGAGATGTTGATGACCACCTGATACGTCACATTCCTCAATATGCCCTGCAAATGATTATTGAGGGCGGGGGGCAGCGAATCAATAGAGGGAGACTGTTGATTGTGTGCGCAAACCTTGAGGAACTCCACCTGCTCCCTGTTGCCCTCGACTGGTAAAGAACAGAAAGCAACTACATGTGTGTCAAGATGGCCTGGCTGGCCTGACGCACCGCACCTTTGACGAATCTCTGATACTCCGCCTTGGTGAGAGTGGCCACCTGCAGGCACACGCGCCAGAAACACATCTATCGCCATTTGAACGTGTGTGTACGTACGTATGCATCAGTACAGTCAGTCTTACATATGTGGGATATGTCAGAGCCTTGCAGCTGGCGGCACGTGGCGCATCTGCAGCCGAAAGAAAAGGAAGGAAGGAAGGAAGGAAGGGTGGTCGATTCGATCCTGCTTTAAAATTCATGTCTCTCTCTGCACACGCATCGCATGTGCGCTGCGCTGCGCACCATTCATGAGAGCAAGTGTCCCGAACATGTCCATGGGATACTGCAACACAATACCTATATGTTATGTACACCACAGCGAGACATGCGCCTCCCACCGCTAAACATGAGGAGAGGCGGCCCGCCTGCCTGCCTGTTCCACTCCCTCCCCCACCTGTGTATGCACGCGCTTGGTGCCCTGGCCGATCATCTTCTTGTACACCCCCACAATCCCAGACAGTATGATGTACGCCATGTCGCCCACTTCACCCTACAAGTGAGTGTACGAGCAAGATACGTGTTTGGCTCCGTTCCGATCCATACATACATAAATCCTTGGGTGGACAAACCTGGTTGATAATGACGGCCCCTTCTTTGTACTTCTCGACATTCAAAGCACGGAAAAACTCCTGGCAGCACACAATCGATAGAGACAGACACATGTATGCCATGGAAAAAGAGAGCTCTTAGTGTCCTTCCTCTGGTCTTACCTTTCTCAATGACGATGTCTGCGGTAGCTTCGACTCTCTCAGCAACTGTATCTCCCCCAACACCTCCTCAAGCAACATCAGATCGTGTTCGTCCCTCACGGCGCCCGGCTTCACTGCCGGCAAAAGGTAGGTAATACAATGTGCCCAGCAGACAATTTTCCATGAACCCCGTAGATACACACAAGTACAACGAGCAGCTTACTCAGTGCTCTGACGGCCTGTTTGATCTTGGGGTCGAGCTTGATGCCTCCAGCGAGTGTGGAGGACAGCGCTGACCGGTAGGACGCCCCCGTCCCCTCCCGCTCCTCCCTCCTCTTCACCACCGGCATTTGTACGGCAGTCTCTCCCGCCGCCGGCTGTCCCTCGATGCGCACCGTGACCTGGGGCCGCTCGCCGGCCTCGACAGCGGCTTCTTCTTCATGAGCGTCAGCTTCTGGTGCTTCTGGCGCTGCCGACGAAGACGAGCTCGAGAGAGACTCCTCTCTTGCAGCAGATATATCGACTGGGATGATCAGCACACGCAAGGAAGCCCTCTCGTGCCTGTATGACTGCATGTGGACTCGCTCTCACCGCCAGCGTCTGATGATTCGCTGCTGCTGAAGCCATGGGGGACGATCTGAACTGCAGCCCCGCTCCTCTGCTTAAGCCGCAAAGCCATCGTGCCACTGGCCGCTTCAGTTCCGACTCGGAGTCAGAAAAAAGCGCGAAAGGCCCCCCATGGCCCCCAGGAGACGGCTTGAACTTCGCCTGCGCCTTCTCGTGCGGCTCGTCAGCGCGCCATCTCCAGCAGCTCTGCGACGGCGGCTTGATGAAGGGCAGTTTTCGCGGCGCCTCTGCAGCACTGCGGTCGCCCAACCGGTCCCCTGTGCACAAGACCCAAGGCAGCCAAGACGCTTTGTTCGACGACTTCCTCAACACGCTGTCGAGAAGCAGCCCCTACGCATCGCACTCTGCGTCGCCCAAGAAAGAGCGATCCCCGGCAGGCTCTCCGAAGAAGGGCCGCTTCAGCCCAGATGTGGACGTGAGAGAGGTGCCCAGCGGCAGCAGCGACTCGGACGAATCGCCTCCGAAGGCCAAAGTGATGGACACGTCAAAGCTGACGTTTCACCAGCCGGGAAAGACCCGCAAATCATTCCAGCTCTCGACAGAGACTCCGGACACTGCACTGGATGCGTGGAGACTGGGGCTGCAGGGGAGGCTGCCGAGTCAGCGGAGGGTGAGGCGGCTGGTGGAGTCAAACACGTTCGGGCTCTTTATCGGGTCGGTGATTGTGGCCAACTCGATTGTTGTCTGCGTTGAGACCGAGCGGAGCGCGCAGAAGGGGGAGCTACAGCAGAATATCCCTCTCAATGTGTCCATTTCCATGGTTTTCCTGGTCGAGTTGCTGCTGCGGCTGTACGCCTATGGCCTCCTGTTCTTCAGAGGGGCATTCAACTGGTCCGTGTGGGTCAGCAAATCGCTGGCTGTTCCTGCCCTGCCGGGATCCATATGTTGGGTATGTATGTTTGTTTGTCAGGTTTGATTTTGTGTTGGTGGTGGTGTCGGTGGTGGACGACATCGCCTTTGGCTTGTTTGGGGAAGTCATCTACGGCTCGGCCCAGACGGCAGACACACAAGGGGGACCGAAACTGAGGGCATTCAGCGTGCTGCGTGTGGTCCGGCTGATTCGAGTGGTGAGAGTGCTAAGGGTGCTCAAGTTGTTCAGGCAGCTGCAGCTGCTGGTTAAGGGGCTGATCAAGGGCATCACGGCCCTTTTCTGGGTTATGCTATTGCTGTGCCTCTTTATCTTCATGTAATGAATGGGCGACGTGAGACACACACATCCACCCCCTCCGGTGTGTCTCTCCATCTACCAACGAAGCGTCTGTGTGCTTGTGCAGCTGTGCGGTGTTCACGACGCAGATGTACGGTATAGAGAGGCCGGAGAACGAGGTGGATGAGATCGACTGGCAGGGCGGCGATGAGGACAGCTCATACATTGTGTCCCGCTTCTACTTCGGGGGCGTGGGCGAGAGCGCATACTCTCTTTTCCAGGTGGGATGAGCGACGCACATTCATCATTAGTGTACAGACATGTTCTGGCTTGCTTCGCCGGAGATGGCTTATGTAATCTTATCATGGATCAGATCATGACGCTAGAGGCGTGGGCGAGCTCGATGGCTCGTCCTATGGAGCGCGCCTACCCGAGGGCGTGGATCTTCTTTGTCGTCTACATCTGCTTCACCACACTCGCGATACTAAATCTTGTCACCGGTGGCCATGCATGGCACCACCGGCATTCTTGACACACATCTGTATGTGTACGGTGGGTGCTGGCTGCGTGTCTAGGTATATTTGTGGAGCAGACGATGCTGGTGGCCCGCGAAGAGGCCGACTTTCACCACTTCCAGCACCTGCAGGTATGGATGGATGGGCAGAATGAATGGGCGGAGTTGAGTCGCACAGAGGACGGCATGCGATGCACACGAGACGAGCATGGCTGTATGTGTCTCAGATCGTGCGAGAGCTGCATCAGTTGTTTGTTGAGGCCGACAAGAACCAGGACGGAACCGTCACCCGAGAGGTAGGTACTCAGGCGGTGCTTGAGTCAGTCATGCCTCTCTTAATGAATGCATTCATTCATTCAGGAGTTGCTGGAGCTGGTCGAGGAGGATGAGGTGGCTGATCGGTTATGCAATATAGGGTTGACACAGAAGCAGCTGGACGCCTGCTTCGACCTCGTGGATGAGAACAATGACGGCATCGTCAACATAGGTAGGTAAAGGCGCAGGACAGCAGGCAGCATTATATGCGGCTGAAAGGGCCCCCGTAAAGCGGTGTCCTGTCTGCTGTGCTGTCTCTCTTGGTCAGATGAATTCGTCAAGGTGCGCGAGTAGACCCATACATAGCGGAATGCTGTATGTATGATGCGTCGTTTCGTTTTGTCTCTTGTGTGTTGTGTTGCGTTGTACAATGCTCGCAGGGTGTGCTCAGCCTCAAGGGTATGCAAGTGAAGCCCACATGACATGTGGAGGGAATGGAGGCCGTCGTTTGTCCATTCCATTCACACGTCTACATGCGCTTCTCTCTGTCTGTTCAGCTGACGCGACCAAGTTCGACCTTCAAAGGGTCAACGCCGTCACCTCAAGAATACACAGACAGGTGAAAGACAGATATGGATGGCCACACAGGGGTGGGGTCGCTCGTTTTCACTCGCTTATCCATGTCTCCGCTGTCTTCCTCTCTCTCTCTCTCTCTGGCAGCTGCATGGCACCTCGACCAGCAATGCCCTTGCACAAGTCCAATTAGAGAGGATGGCGAAGCGCGTGAGATACCAAGACGCTCGGATCTCCCACCTGGAGATCATGATATCGGAAATATACCGAGACGTCCTCGGCCGCAACCCACCCCCTCCCCCCGACATACCCCCACTCTCCCATGACACGTCGCCAAGGCGGGCAGATGACACCAACCCCCACGAGCAGACACAAAGCGCACCGTTGCACCTGGTGAGAGAAATCGGCCCAGGGCAGGACGTGCTGCGGAATGAGGACAGTAGGGATGAAGGGGGAATTAGCCGGACGACGCTGCCCAACGAAGTGGTTGAGGGGGAGGAGTAGCCCGTGTGTATGTGTGTTATATATCGGTTTGGGCTCCATTGGATGGGTGGGTGGTGACAAATTGGTGTCACTCGTAGTTTGTGTCTCTGGTAGACAGCGAGTAGCCTCGAGACCCTTTGCTTGCTGGATTTTGGATGTTGGATTGGTTGGGATCAATCATACATGTAAGGCAGGGCGGGTTTTACACGAGTGGCCTCTTTGAACCAAGCGACTAATCGTCGGGTAGTCAGCCAATCTAGCCACACCGCCAAGCCGTCAATTCATTTCCGCCCATACACCCAGTAGGCCAGCGCCAAAAGACAGCAACGGGTCAGTCGAACACCTCGTCAGGGCCGCCAGAGGCCGGAGGGCTACGCACACGCACACGCACACACACACACATATCAGCAGCCGAAACGAACTGCGGCATGCTACTTTGCGTCCCTCTGTGTGTCACTCACGCGCAGCACATGTAGTATCCTCCAGCAAGGAGAAGGAGCGACCCCCCGCCCACCACAATGTAGAACGTCGTCGGGTCCATCCCCAGTATCTCTGCAGGCAGAAGAGTACGTCTTTAACCACCTTGTTGCCAGCAAGCGACTTACTCTCTTCGGCTGCCTTTGCTGTCTTCCCTACAAAGGAACGCACCGAGGGAATGCAATGCAGGCCCAGTAGAAGGCGGGCGTGTCTCTGTCTGTGCGTTGGTCACTGACTCAGTTCGCAGTGCGGTCCTTCGTATGCAGCCTGGCACTTGCAGTGGTACTTGGTCTGCCCGTCAACCACACATAGTCCCCCATGCTGGCACTCGACGTGATCGCAAATGCTGCTCTGACCCTCCCCCACTGACATCGGGCCAAAGGGATTGGCAGCAAACATTACACGTTCCATTGTGTGATGATGGGTGGGACTTGTGCACCTTTGGACGCCTCGATTAGTGATGCGATAGTGCCCGTGGGCCTCACCACCACCTCCGCATGGTCGTCCTGGGATGCGGCAATCTCCTTCTGCGGCACCAACACGCCAGACCACGATGATGCGATGTCCGCTGGATGTCAGCCACAGAGAGTTACATTCATTGCAGGAGGAGTCTATTGCTGATAAAGAGTGGGGGCGCGGTGCTTACGGTCATCAAGCTGCCCTGGTGATGTGTAGTGGGGCTGTGCGCTCAGGGACTCGACATAGAAGGGAAACGAAGACCTCTGGCGGTGTCTGCGAATGCTGATCCACTTGGGATCCTGTCAGTGACACACAAAGGCATTCCCGACAGGCACTGCAATGATGCTGAACGCCTCAGCCGCCTTTGCAGTTGTTGCCGCCACAGGGTCATCCGAGTAGGCCTGCACGCCCCCCTGGTGCGATGACGTCCCCAGGCAGTTGAGCACCACGACCGACAGAGAAGTGACCAGAAAGAGCGCCGCAAGGAGGGATGTTGACTTCGCCCGCTCTGCCCTGGGCTGAATTAATGCCGGCTCGGATTCTTGCTGCTCTCTGCAAGTGCAGGGCTGGGCTTGTTGGCTACTTTGCACGTCAGCGTTGTGGGGGTGACGTGTTGCGCTGCGATGTCTGGCTGAGTCCATCTCGGGTGGGGCAGAAGGGAAAGGCGATCAGTCCCCAGAATTTTGGCGCCACCGTACAGTCGACGCAGGAGAGCGGCTTGCCAGGATGAGCGCCGCAGCGTCCGAATCTTCCCCCGTTTTTAAGTCATCGCACAAGGTAAGCTCGGAGGCGGCAGAGAGAGATGACCAGCCGCGAGCGATGAGCCGCATCAAGCGTCGTTTGTATGGCTGATCTGCCAGATGTTTGACGTCGGTTCGCTTCCCGGTGACGCACTCTGGGCGTTGGCTGACCAGATGACCGTCGGCGAGTTGGTTCGTGTGCGCCGACTCAACAAAGCCGTCCGCGCCGGTCTGGGGCTCACGTACATGCTGCAGCGACTCGAGCACTTCAACGCCACTCACAGCGCCCGCAACTTGGTCATCTTCAAGCCCGAAATGCCCGGTAGGCAGAATGCAGGCAAGGGACACAACACATCTTGGCCCATCCATTCCCCTGCTGTGTTTGCGTGCGTTGATCTTCAGGCACCATTCGTTCCGCCGAGGAGGGTTGGTACGAAGATCGCCCTGCCGGTCCTCAGCCCAACCCCCTCGGCCCCTTCCCCGTCGCTGAGGATCCCAAATTCTCAACCAAGGTCGGTCACCACATTCAGGCAGCCACACAGCCACAATCCACTGCTCACTGTGTGTTGTGTTGCGTTGCGTTGTGTGGCGTCATCAGCGTAAGGTTCGTCGTGTGTTGGCGACGTTGTGGGTGGGCGAGGAGGGCGGCGACTGGGAGGCCTGGCGACCCGTCATGACCCGCGCGGCTGCAGACCCCCAGGACGGCGTCAGTCTGCCGGTGGTGGTGGTGGTCAAGGCGGGTGAGGGCCGTGGCAAGTGGCACCCAAGCACAAGCGCCAAGGCATACAAGGTAGGTGGGGGTGGGGGGGTAGGGGACACAAGCGCCCTGCGTCATCGCTTTCGCTCTCTCCCTCTCTCTGTGTGTGCGTGTGTGTGTGCGTGCGTGTGTGTGCGTGCGTGCGTGTGTGTGCGTGCGTGTGTGTGCGTGCGTGTGTGTGCGTGCGTGTGTGTGTGTGCGTGTGTGTGTGCGTGTGTGTGTGTGCGTGTGTGTGTGTTCAGAGTCACCCGGCGACGTTTGCCCAGCTGACGTATCTGCACCACCACCTCAACTGCACGTTCCTGATGCCTCGAGCGGGTACCACATCCCGAGTGTACCGCCTCGAGCTGCGCAACAACCGACGCGCCACATGGAAGGTCCGATGCGCACAGCGGGGCGACACATCCAACGTAAGGATGCAGACAGATGAGAGCCCACGGTCTCTCCCATCAATGCCTGCGTGCCTGTGCAGAACCCCCGCATCGTGGCCCGCCGTTGTGTGGGTACGTCGGTGACTGAGTTTGCCAGACCCTTCCTGAGTTTCTTCGAGTACGAGTACTTCACTCCCACACCGCTGCCGGCGGTGGGGCTGCTGGGCCTCCCCGGCCAGCAACAGCTCAATCCCAATCCCAATCCCAATCCCGCCCCTGCCCCCGCCCCTCCCCCTCCCCCTCCCCCACCCCAAGACACACATGACACACACGACACACACGACAACCAAGATGACGACCTGGCCGCTCACATCAGCGACGAGCCACAGCCAGGAGGAGATACCGAGGAGCAGGAGGGGCCGGTGGGCGACAGGGAGGGAGGGGAGCAAGAGGGAGTGGGTCCTGACGAGGGGGGTGATAGCGAGCTGGGCGTGTGTGTGGAGGATAAGGGTGTGGATGGTGGTGAGTGTGCTGACGATGAGGGCGGGGAGGGGGAGCAGTACAGTGTGGAGGGAGAAGAGCATGACGGTGTGGACGGCGAGGCTGACGAGGGTGGTGGTGGTCTCGATGATGACGGTAACGATATCGACATGAACTCCGAACACGAGCAAGATGAGGTCAGCCCGCCCGCCAGATCCCTCTCTGCATCCCTCTGTGGACACATGTTTGTCGTGTGTGGTGTGTGGCGTGGCGTGCAGGATGGTGGCCTCCCCCAGTTCTCAGATTGGGACTCGCTCGTGTCCTCGTGGGGCGAAGACAGCATCATCAGGCACGGACGCAACCCACGCAAACAATCCGACCCCTCTGCCATCTCTCGTGCGACCTTTTCTCTATCAGTGGCGACACCCAGTGTGAGTACGAGGCGACGTTTGTCGACCGACGCCGATTCGCCGATGAGGACAGCAGCGACGAGGGGGAGGGGGGCGACCAGCGGCGGGAGGAGCGGGACGAAGCGGAGGAGAGAAACTGCCGAGAGATGAACCAGCACATCGGGCGTATAGTGCAAAGACGACGGGACGAGAGAGAAATGAGGTGGGCGGTTGAGTGGGTGAACAATTATCGACGTTCATTGGAAGGCTGCCTGCCCTTTTGCCCTGGCTTCAGCGAGTTCCTCACTTTCATCGCTGGCATGCGCAGGCAGAGGACACACAGGTACACACGTCAACACGCCAGAGACAAGACAGACACACCGTTCTTGTGTCTCCCTCTGTGTACATGTATGGTGCCTTTGCCTGTGTGCAGGGACGATGAGATGGACGACGACATGGACGATGAGATGAATGAGATGGCCGCACCCAGGTGGGCACATGCATTCAAGAGAGGAGTCGCACCGCTCTCGTGCCTCTCACTCTGTGTGTGCAGTGCTGCTGCTGCTGCTGGAGGGCCAACAGCTGCCGACAACAATAGCAACAGCAACCCTGACAACACCGATGACATGCAGTGATCGAGGTGAGGGAGGCAGGCAGGGAGGGAGGGAGGGAGGGGAGGGCACTGGTAGCTTTCCTCTGTCTGCTCTGTCTGTGCCGCCAGGTTGGTGAGTGATGGCTTAGCTGGATGGCGGATATAGCCAATTGGATATAGCAGACAGACAGACAGACAGAGTCTGAGAGTGACCGCAAGCAGACTGACACTAAAAAAGCACAGATAGACAGACAGACAGACAAGCGGACGGATCACGATGGATGCTTCGTCTGTTGACGCCTGGTTGGTCCCGCCCACAGCTGGCCACCAGCCATGGAAGACCTCCAGCCGTGTCTGTCTGCATGGTGTGTACATGTCAGTGAACGCCTGCCTGCCCGCACGAAGGAATGAATCGATGAATGGGCCGCTGCTGGTGGTGCTGGTCCCTCAAGAGTTTTACAAATTAATTGCTTTGCGCCGGTCGTTGGCCGCCAACCAGAATCAGATAGAATGATTGAGGGGAGACTGACTGTGGCTGTGGTGTCATGTCATCAAAATTCAGCCCGTCGGCTTAGCCAGTGTCACACACACACACACACACACATCAGAAAGACCCACAGACACCCACACAGACCACACACACACAAGGGGGGCAGGCAGGCAGACAGACAGGTAGGCAGTCCACCACTGAGTGAGCCAGCCAGCGACACAAGAGTGAGTGGATGGGCACGAGTCTCGCTTGGTAGCTCGATATGCCCACACACGGATCAGCCGGCAGGTAGACAGGCAGGGGCAACAGTATCAGGCAGGTGATGAGAAACCACCGGCAGACAGTGCGTGCAAAACCCCAGGCAGACAAGTCAGGCAAGTCAGGCCAGGTGACAGGCAGGTGGGCATGGTTGGTTGAAGGAAAAAAGACAGAGGCGATGGATGGCCAAGTGTGGGGGTGAGTGAGGTGACTGTGAGTGAGATCATGATGATGTGTGTGTCCAATCCATCCATCCAATATATTCAGTCAGTACTTGTATAACACACACGACACCACGCCACGACCACTGTCAAGTGATCGTCAAGTCAGGACGCTCACGTCAATGAACCAACCAACGGGCCAATGCAATGCACACATTTACAACGCACAGACAGATACGAAAGGAACCCCAAACAAACAAACGAATCAACGAATGAACGAACGAACGAACAGTCCATCCATCCATCCAGCCATCCACTCAGCCAGCACCGACAGACACAGATGTTATGTTATCTAGGATAATATGAGTGTACCGGTGTGTCCATACATACAGTCTGTCCGACGGCATCGCATGCACACACGCACACTCACAGTGAGTGAGTCCCACCACCATGCATTGCACGCATTGCATTGCATTCGTCCCTTCATTCATCGACGGCAGGCTCCGCGCCTCACTGCTGTCTGCACTGCACGCGGGGGCCACCTGAACACACACACACACACGGAGAGAGAGAGAGAGAGAGAGAGAAACGAGACAAGACAAACCATCTCGGTGAGTCGGTCGGGGTGTGTGTGTGTGTGTGTTTGCGTGCGTACCCATTCCCTCATCTTCGTCCTCCTCGTAGGCCTCCCCCGACCTGGCCGCATCCTCCTTCAAACGCTCGGGGTCGACCGTCTGGCCACACCCCAAGGGCAAACACATGTCACAACCTAACTCTTCGTGCCCATGGGTGAGTGCGTGTGGACGTAGTATAGTACCTCGACGTAGTGGACTTCAGCGTCGAGTTGGTCGTCGATGTCCATGTCCATCTTGCGGGGTGAGGGGAGCAGCTTCTTGAGTGCGTTGCAGGTCTTGTCGTCGAGTGCGTCGGGGAACTCGACATCGAACGAGATGAAGAGGTAGCCCCTGATGAAGGGGTTCTTGACCGAGGGCATGCCCTCGTTGGCGATCGCCTTCATCTCGCCGGGCTTGATCACCTCATTGGGGTTGCTCTTGATGATCAACTTGCTGCACACACACAGAAGGGAAGGGTCGGGCACGCCACACAGGCATGCATATCAATGCATGGAGAGAGAGGGAGAACCATGCATGGGATATGGATGTACCTACCGGTTGTCGAGGTGTACGAGCTCGAATGAGAATCCTGTGAGAGCCTCCAACAAAGTGATCTTCTTCTTCATCAGCAGGTGGGACTTCTTGCGGGTGAACACCTATACACACAAACACACACAGACACACACGTCCCGTCCCTGGATGCAGGTCAGTGTGTGTTCGAGTTCCCTGCACGCCACGCCACGCACCGGGTGTTCTTGCTGTTGGATGACGAAGATGACATCGCCGGGGAGCTGACCCGGCCTCTCGTCGGCCTCGCCCCTACACACACACACACGTGAATGCATTGCAATGCAGAGACCTGTGTGTGTCTGTGCGTCCCTACTCACCTGAAAATGATCTTTTTGTTGTCTGGCGCCCCTTTCTCAACAAACACCTCCAGCACCTTCCGCTCCTTGATCGTGCCATCCTGCAGCAAACCATGCACACAAAAGCATGTATGTCATCTGTCTGTGTCCATGCCATGCATTATGGTATCAGTCGTGGGCGGGCGTGAGGCCAGCAAGGCAAGGCAAGGCAGGCGTACCCCTCCGCATCTCTTGCACTGTTTGTGTTGCGGGATGTACTTGCCCTGCCCCCGGCACTCGGTGCAGGGAGACTGCATCTGCTGAATCATCGGACCCATCTGAGTGTATCCAGCCAGCCATCGACAGACAGGCATACACACACACGGCAACAGAGGTGAGTGAGACACTGGCAGCCAGCCAGCCAGCCAGCCATTCACTCCTGTCTGTCTGTCTGTCTTTCTGTCTGTGCGCACCTCACCTGTCTGATGGTGACTCTGATGCCTCTGCCCTTGCAGGCAGAGCAGGTCTCCATCGCAGACTGAACACACACACACACACACACACGCACGCACGCGGAGGATCCTTGTGTGTCTTGATCCATCCATGTGTGTGCTACGGTACCTCTGGTCCGCCGACGCCATCGCAGTCAGGGCAAATGATGTCTCGGTTGATGGCCAACTTGCGCGTCTTGCCGTTGTACAGGTCAGACAAGGTCACCTGACAAGCAGACACACCGATCCCATGTGCCCGTCCATCATCGATTCTCAGTGCTTCATTTATTCCCCTCCCTCCCTCCCTGACCCTGTGTGGGTAGCTACCTTGAGTGGGTGCACGACGTCCTCCCCTTTCCGCCTGCCGCCGCCCCCTCCCCGCCGCCCACCACCGCCACCGAAAAACAAATCGAAGATGTCGGTCGGGTCAGATCCACCACCGCTGCCCTGGTGGACCATGCATACAAGGAAGGTAGATAGAGGATACCAGTGATCGATGATCGATCACAGCATGGGACTCTGGATGTGCATGCTGGTTGCCGTAGCGTCAATGTGTACGTACCTCGAGCCCCTCCTCGCCGACTTCGTCGTATGTCCTCCGCTTCTCGGGATCGCTCAGCACCTCGTAGGCGCGACCGATTTCTTTGAACAACTCAGGGTCGCCTCCCTTGTCGGGATGATGCTTCATCGCTGCACAAGTGAATGCCACACACAACAAAGATGCCACAACCCGCGACCGATGTTGCAATCAACGCCCTCTCAGTGAGTGAGTGAGTGCGATGAATCGCGATGCGCTTACCGAGTTTCCGGTAGGCCTTCTTGATAGTGTTGAGGTCGTCATTCTGGCTGACGCCCAGCACCTCGTAGAACCGCTTGTTATCAACCTCTGAAGGACACACACACACAGAGGGACGGACAGTCAGGTCAGCCATCCCTCCCTCATGCCAACGAAGCGCGTGCATGTGTGTGAGTGCGTGAGTGAGTGAGTGACCCTTCTTCTCTCGTCTCATTCCCGGCATTCCCGGATGCGGCCCATCCTCGAAGCCGCCGAACGGAAACCCGCCGAAGAACATCCTCGCTGCCTCTCTCCCAATATATGGGATTGTCACAGACTCAGTCGCGAGTCGATTTTTGTCTCAGCCCAGTGGCCAGGACACCACGAGATCCTACGCCAATCCCTCCTGCCTTCACACCCAGTGCCTCTGACTCAAGCCTGTCGTTTGAGCTCGCACGCCGTTTGCGAGCTTCGCCGAAAAAAGAGATCTCGCCAACATGCGTTTCGTGAGTGGTGATCAGTGTGGGCTGTGGAAGTGCGTCTGCGTCGATGGAGAGAAGCCGACGGTGTCTGCTCAACAGGGCGGCGGAAAGCAGGACCGCTCCCTCGCTGTTCGATGCGTCGCCTGGACGGGAGGACGCAGGTGAGTGTGCAGTGCGTGCATGCCGCAGCACCAACACGTGCTGAAGAATGCCTCATGGCCACCAGTTGATTGATTCTCTCTGTGTGTCCTGCTGGCATCAGCGGGTGGGATGAGTCTGAGGTGACGATTGGGCGGCAGGACGGCAGAGTGGAGAGCTTCACCGCTGAGGGGGTCCGCACGCGGCGATGTCTGTTCCCATCGGCTGTCCTCCACGTCGGCTGGCTCGACGCCCCTCCCGCAAAGCGAAGCATCGACCAGATAAGAAGTCGCTATGGTGAGCAACCATTCATTTCGGTCACCCAGCATGATGGAGGGATGCCCTATCTCTGTCTGCACCTTCTGTCCGTTCAGCCTCTCCCCGTCACCTGCTGGTGTGCACGACGGCGGGCGAGTGTGCCATCATCCGCTGGAGGGGCACATTCGACAGCTCTCACACGTGGGTCTTCCCTGGCGTGGCCAGCAAGGCCGCCATGGAGACCAAGAAGACCATCAAGGCCAGGACGGCGTCAATCCCCTGCGAGTGGCATGCAGCTCTGCACAGCGGCCATGACAGTGATGATGGCGAGGGCGTGACGGTCAAGCAGGAGGAGCCGGATGATGAGGGAGAGCAGCAGGAGGAGGCTGAGGCTTCTGGCGGCGAGCAAGACGGCCGGCCGCCTCCCTTTGTGATCATGTCCTGTCGGCTTCCGGGGCCCATCGCAGCCGTGGTGTCAGATCCCCTCTGCCCCTCTCGTGTTGCTTTCGGCGGTGCAGACAATGACGTCAAGGTGGCCGATCTGCGGACGTGTGAGATGGAATGGGCCGCCAAGAACGTCAAGAACGACGAGCTAGACCTGCGGGTGCCCGTCAATGTGACTGCCGTGGCCTTTCTCAGCCACCTGTCGCTGGGCAGACCGACGTCCCACGTCATCGCCACCGCCTCCCTCTCTGGCCGGCTGCGCATCTACGACATCTCTCAGCAGCGGCGGCCCCTGGTTGATGTGGGCGTGAGCGAGCAGCCGGTCGTGTGTGTGGCCGTCCAGCCGGTGTTTCGGTCCATCTCAGCGGGCTGGAGTGATGTCAGTCATCGTGTGGTCAAGGAGGAGACAGAGGTGGCGCGGCCGGCCAAGAGGCGCAAGACGGGTGCCGCGGGTGGTGTGGCAGATGACGAGATAACGGAGTATGTCATCGATGACGATGAGGACCTACCACAGGATGGCAGCAACAAACAGCCACAGGAGGATCCAGCCGCTGACGCGATGCGGGCCAACACAACCCTCTACGCCTCTGCCGTCCCGCCGTCGTGCCGAAAAGCGGAAGAACAAGACGCCGCTCGTGAGGAAACGCCCGCACCAGCCGACAACTCTGCCACGAGTGCCGTCATCCTTGTGGGCAATACGGTGGGTGCACTGCTGAAGTATCGGGTCACAGCCAGGAGGGAGATCAAGGCAGGCAAGCGGAAGAAGCAGCAGGGGGAGGCTCCGGCGGCCAGTGTGGCATACAGCGCCGACATGGTTGGGGGCTATGCGGGCGTCATGGGAGGCATCAAGGGTGAGGTCGTAAGCGAGACTGAGGGGGATGTGTTTGGCTGGCTGTTCATCTTGATGTGTGTATGTGTGTGTGTGTTGCTTCTTCCTTCCAGCGATGTGCTGCCACGAGAGCGGTGAGTATGTGCTTGCTGTCGGTCTGGGCCGGCACGCATACATCTTCCACAACCAGTCACGAAAACTCATGACCAAGGTACTACAACCATACACAAAAGAAAGACACGCCCCACCCACTGTCTCCGTCCATCCGTCCGTCCGTCTGTCCGTCTTGTCTGTCAGGTGTACCTAAAGCAGAAGCTGACGGCGGCGTTGTTCTCCTCTGACCCCTACGTGCCTCCCTTGCGTGCTGTCAAGTCTGAGAATGAAGAAACCAAGACCAACACAAGGGCGGCACAGGACAAGGGCACGCTGGAAGCGAGCGATTCTGACGAGGACGAGAACGGTGATGTGGATGAGGGAGACGAGGATGACGGTGACGATGAGATAGGCGACGAGGAGGGGGAGGAAGAAGACAACGACAGCGGGGATGACTGAGTAAGGGCATTTCTGCGATGTGCGTGGAAAAGTTGATGAACGTATGTATGTGGCTTGTGAGACTGGCCATACACTGAAGCTTTTGATGCGTCGAATGTCTGTCGTTGTGTCAGTCGATCTGTCCACAAACTACGGAGTACCGTCCCCCTACCTACTCGTGTGTCTGGGCTGCGCAAACGCATACGATCAGTCAGTCAGTCAGTCAGTCAAGGCCTTCCTGTGATATGGTACAAAGCCCCGCGCTTCAGCTCTCTGAGTGTGTGACCCAAAACGTGGCCAATCCCTCACACGCACACATAACATCAGAGCTCAAGGCGATACGATACGCAGACGATACCGACACTCACGCACGCACACTGATTCAGCGCCTTCCTGTCCTGCGCCTGCCATCCTGCATGCCGGCCCCGTTGGAATGGCGGTGTCTGGCATACTTGCAGACACTGCCTCACCAACAGCACTGCCACCCAAGACGACAGCCGCAGGGCAGCCGAGGATAGCACAAGCATGGTACATCCACCCATCATGCAACCAGGGAAAAGCTCATCACAGCATGGTACAGATGGACCAGCCCCCTCCAGCAAAGAAGCACGACAGCCATTTCGCAAGCCGAATCATCTCGACACCTCCAAACAGCGCCTCCCAGAACCCCGGCCACCAGCTGTCCACCTTCTCCTTCAGAAGCTGCAGCTGCTCCTGCATAGCCTCCAAATCGGACACGTTCTCCCGAAGAGCCGCCACGTCATCCATCAAGCTCTCGGTCGCTCCACCCGCCCTCAGTGCCCACAGCCTTGTCAGTTCATGGGCTCTCGTGAGGTCGAGGAGAGACTCAGCGAGGTATCTGATCCTCTTGTCTTGGCCGGTGCTGTTCTGGGCCATCTGCATCAGCATGCCCTCGATCGCGGCCTTGTCCTCCTGCTGGGCCGTCCTGCTGGCGCGGACCTCATTCTTGGTCGTCTGCAGCTCCTGAAACGTGCGGCGCAGCACGTCCGCGAGGCCTGTCTTCGTCGCGTTGTGGTCGTGCCTCATCTGCATCAGTGACTGCTCAAGCTGAGAGATGGCCGCTTCATGGCGTGACAGTTGGCCGCCCATGTGCTGGATTCTGCCCTCGTGTGTCAGCGACATGAACACGAGACCTGCATGGAAAAGAACGGAAGGACCAGATCAGAGCGTTCTGTGTGCATGCAGCGAGTGCTCTCACCTCCAGATATCAACATTATCACGGCGAGCATGCCTGACGCGAACACCAGAACCATCTTGAGGCACTCAACTGTGTTGCCATACGTGTGGGGGGCGTCCCGCTGCCTATCATATCTCCGCCTGCGCAGATGCGGAGTGCGGGGATGGTGAACAAAGAAAGGCATCTTCTATCGCAGGCGGGGTAAACGCAACGGTTTCAGGAAGCTGCAGAGGATCGCTGTCGTTGAAGGGAAATGGTTTAGGAGGGGGGGTTTTGTGTCTAGGGTTTAGGGTTGTTGTAATTTTAGGGGGTGGAGATGGGGAATGCTCTTTGTAGGCGATGGGGAACGCTCTTTCGAAGTCGGGAGACTTGTACGAGTTTGAGTTTGCGTCTTCCGGGGGGGTGGAGGCCTAAAAGGAAAGGGTTGAACGGCTGGCGGTTGCAACCTCCAAGGTTGAACCGTTGGTTGAACGCCAGGTTGAAACGGCTGGCGACCTGGCGTTAATCTTGACGGCAAGCAAGACGGAGATTGTTGCCCTCGCCCAGCCTGTTTCTCCCGTCGTTTTCCTCTCCTTTCTTACACATGATGGTGCGGTTCGTCTTGGTTGTCGTGGTGGTTTCACTAGCTGTGGCGGCGGCCAAGCCGCAGGAGACCCTCAAGAAGGGCAAGGGCAAGGGCAGCCACCGCCAGCAGCCCAAGCAGACGGCCGAGTGCCTCGCCACCCCAATCAGGGCGTTCGTGGGTGAAGTCGCCACCCTCCCTCTCAGGTAAGGCGCACCACTGGCTGCTCCTGCCTTTCGTATCTCTCGCCTTGACTGCATTGCACTGTCTGTCGGCTCTGTGTGTGTGGTGACACGCAGCGAGTTCCTGACTTTTGCCGAGGGGCTCCCGGGCGGTCCGGAGTTGTTGGGCGAGGCGGTGACCAACGTGACGGTCTCCCCTCCTTTTGACGACGAGGCGAACGGGGTATCCGTCTGGACGGGCTCATCAACACACAGGAGCTGCAGCTCAGATGCGAAGAGTCACCCATCGTCGACGAGGTACGGACGCACACGAACGCAATGAAAGTCAAGAGGACATGCCACCCAGCCATCTTGCTCGTGTGCGTGTGTGTGTGTGTGTGTGGTGTCTGCTTGTGCGTGTGCTTGGCTGCTCACAGCCTGTGACAGCTGAGGTGACGTACTTCATCAATTTCGACGTCAACTTCGCCACAGGTGACGACCCGGTGCCGTTCGAGAGGACCTGCCCCGTCCAGGCGACATGTGTGACCCCGCCCACAAACACCACCACGGCGGCACCCACAGGCGATGAGTTCAGCGTCAAGTGCATGGACCAACAGCTCAACGGCAGCCCCGGAGAGGACACAAGCAAGCCCATCACGTACGTAGCACCGGAGGGAAGACTTGCTTACTGTGCTCAATGGCGGGTATGATGTGTCAACGGCTCTCTGTGCTGTGCTGTGGTGTGGTGTTTCTCTCTGTGTGTTCAGGGCCTTTGCACGTGTGGAGGGCGGCAGTGGGGGCTGGAAGGCTGTCGGTGTGAGCGTGCCCGCGTCGTTCAACAAGATGTACGGCCCCAAGACGAAGAACATGGGCCTGGCGCTCAAGAAGAACATCGGCACCCAGTCCCTCATACTCATATCCGTCCCAGAAGCAAAACCTCTCAAAAAGGCGCACACCACACCCCCCACCACACGCCCACTACTGTGGTCGATCCATGGCACCCACGTGTGTGTGTGTGTGTGTATGTGTGTGTGCAGGAAGTGTCGGTGCCTGTGCACTTCAAGTTCTCCAAGGGCGACAAGCATGTAAGCAAGACTTGCCCCGTCCGCCTCATGGTCGTGTAAGGGAGGGAGGGAGCCACCAGGGAGGCTCACTGGTGAGCGACCTGGGTGGCTGGGTGGGTGGCTGCGAATTTTCTGGAACTCTCTTCTGTTTGTCTGGAGAGCGATGAGCGATGCGATGCGCTGTGCTGCGACGTCTAAGTGCTTGCTTTTGCTGCGTACGACTGGCTGCTGTCTGGTGTGTATCTATCGGTCGTCCTATGGATGGATGGTGACTGACGCTCAGAAGAGCGAGTGCCATGTGTGCTGTGTGCCTCTTTGTGTACTTCTGCTTTCATCAGAGCACTATAGTGCACGTGGGTGATTGATGGGAGGGACGGGTAGTAGGGCCGGGAGGGGCATGTGCTGTCTGTTCTGTGTAGGTCGGTATGTGATGTATGTCTGTAGTTGGGTCGCATCCATCGCACTTTTCTACTACCTGCTTGTGCTCTTCTAGATATCTATCATATCGCATACACATCGACAGACAGACAGCCGTTGAGCTGTGTTGTGTGTGTGGTGTAGCCCATCTTGTGACACGTACGTATTTGTGGCCGCCCAACTGACAGACAGACAGATGTGTGATAGCATAACTCGGGAGTACCGCTGACTCCACGCATTTCACTCACGAGTCGATCGAGACGGGTACGAGACACGTACGTGTGATGCAGACACATACATGTGTCGTGTCTACATCCACACAAATGACATGACTGACTACCACGGTTTGTTTGTTCTGGTCTGTCTGGCGCCATCGCCGTAAAGTCACATTGACATCCATCATAACACACAGCAGCAGGCATGGATACCACTACCGTACCGCACCGCCCCTCCCTCTACCGGTAGGTATACATTTACGTGTTTACTGTACACAAGACAAGACCACCCCACCCCACCCCGCCCCACGGCACAGATAAACAGCTACAACTGAGCTGAGCCGGGCAAGGACGTGAGCGCCTTACCGCGCTCATATCACCCTCTCTCCGTCCATCCATCCGTCCATCCATGCATCCATCCATCCATCATTCTCTCTCGCCAATCCAGCAGACGGATCGACCGACCGGTATGGACACATCCCATCACATCACCCGTCTAGATGGAACTCGGCCACTTTCTGGTGCTCGTTGCCCTCCCCCACACTGCCACTCGACGGTGTGTGGTACTGAGACGGCGTCCTTTCACATGTGACATTAGCCGGCGAGGGAGACAGGTGCTGCTGCCGCCCCTCCCGCTCGCTCGTCGACGGGGTGCTGGGCCACTCGTCCATCCCTCCTCTGTCTCTATCACGGTGGTGGCTGGTCTCATCGACCGCTCCCACCAGATCCGACAAGACGATCCAGTCGCCGTCCTCATAACCTGATCGAATCGATGCCATGGATGGCGACAACACATCATAGATGTGTGTTTCTGTTTTCCGAGTGCGAGTGCAGTGCGTGTGGCTGTGCTGTGTGCTCACCTTTGAATGATTCCTCGCCGTAGTGGTGGCCAAAGAGGTCGCCGAGGGCAGATGCAGGCCGCGGCGGAACCAGGCTATGTAAGGCCAAGGGACAAAGGGAAAAATCCAATGGCACAGGGAATGAATATATGCAGGGATCCGGCTGGCGTGCCAATGGGATAAGAGTGCGTGACGTGGTGTACCAGCCGAGATGTGGCGAGCTGATAATTGAGTTCAACAGCTGCAGTGTGTCATCTGACAGAGACCCGACGGACAGAGCATGGAATGGCATGAATGAGGCGGGGCGGAGTGCATCGCTCGTCCCTCCGCAGTCCGCACCTGCACAAGGGTGTAGTGTCTTACCGTGCTGCCTGAGTGGTGGGTGTTGTCCCTGCCGTTCGCACATGTGCAGCAGCGACTGATTCAGCAGATGCAGCGCCGCAGAGAAATCCGATGTGCACACGCCGTCGTAAATCGTGAAGGCATGCGCAACACTGCAGCCACACCACACAAGCCAAGGACACACATGCTGGATGCCTTGATGCCTCCTCCCCCCCCTCCACTCACATACCCAGTGCCCCTGTGTATGACTCTGGGCACGGCCCATCCCTTGGTGCCGCCGTCCCTCTGCTCGCGATGCCCGCCCCTCCCCAAGCCACCCTTCCGCGCCATCAGCATGGCCGACACACCACTGAGCGACCCACGGCCATGCCGCAGCTGCTGACCCACTTCGGTCGTCACCTTGGCCACACCCATGGTCACTGTCTGGGCCACAGACGACGATATCGACTGGCTGCGCGATGATGCGTGTGAGGCGGGTGAGCGCTTGACCTGCCCGCGGGTGGCGAGGGAGAGTGAGAATGGGTAGTCGCCCTGGTGGGAGTGAGTCGACTGGTCGTCAGAAATATTGGAGGGCATCCTGTTGGGCAGATCGGACGGCATGGCGGGTGGAGGGGGGATGGGCGAGGGAGAGGGGTGGGGGCGGGGGTGGGAGGGGGTGTCTGCGAGCCTGTAGATGGGGTCTCGTGCGCTGATGTTGCGCTGGCAGGCCTGGCACTTCCAGTAGTGGCCGTAGACGATGGGGAAGGGGAGTGGCACGTCTAGGTAGGCGGCGAGGCCGAAGACGATGGGTGCGATGAAGGAGAGTGCGGCCTCCACCTCCATCTCCCTCTCAAACGGCATCTCGCCGCTCGCTGCACTCAGGTGCATCACAAGCATCACATCAATCAACGAACGCACCGAGGAAGAATGAATCCGATTCGATGTGAGTGCGTCGCTCACCTTGGAAGCTCTCTACTTCCGCCAGTGTGAGCATCTTCTGCCCATTGCACACAATCTTCTTCAGTGGGAACAAACTGACACACACACACACACACACACATACACACACAGCAAGCATCACGATGCAATGCATCCGACGCTCAAATCATCTATCAGTGCAGCTTCTTCCTTTCCCCTCTGTCCTGTCCACCTTACTTACCAAATGAGCTCCGAGCACTTCTTCCTCCGTTCTGTCTGCATGGCCTCCATGACGGCCTTGAGCTCCTGGTAGATGTGGAAGGCGCCCAGGCCAGCCACATTGCATGGCGGATCATCCAGAAACTGACCCACAGACCACACAAACAACCACACGACACAACACGACAAGAGGGAAGCGACTGAATCAATCGAATGACGCATGTGCACTGCAGTGTCCCCCGCTGTTCGGCCCACCCACCCTGTGGAGCGTCATGGGCAGCAGTTTTGACTGCAGGATGCGTGTGACCTCCGTCAGGTGCTCCCTCTGCTCCTCCAGTGCTCGCCGCCGCTTCTCGAGAGCTGTCCGCAGACGCACCACACGAGACGAACCTGCGCACATCCACGACAACAAGCATTGAGTATATGGCATCCTTTCTCTATCTGTCTGTGATTGTCTGTCTGTCTGTCTGTCTGGTGTGCGTACGTTCGTTTGCCTCGTTCCGTTTGGCGTGTAGAGTGTGTTTGAGTCTGTCGACCGACTGGCGCAGCGCATCCCTGCGTTCCCTCAGGAGCTTCTCTCGGCATCCCTGCAGCCGGCTCAGCCGACGCTGCACGCGCTCGCTCAGCCGCTGCACGTGCTGGTGGAGCGGCGGATGCCGAGCCTTCTCAATCCTGCACGACGCACAGACCAGACAACACACAACACGGCAACAAAACAGATGAGATCACATCACTAACTACATGTTGGTAGATTAGATTGTCGGAAGGTTGGAGGGCGGGTGTTGTTGCTTCTCGTCAGACTGTCTATCCGTCCGTCGTCTGCTTTGTCTGCCTGCCTGTCTGTCTGTCTGTCTGTCTGCCCATGCATGGTTCCATCCATGCCATGCACATCTTGCTGCTGAGCTGACCGGACGTGTATGCAGTCGGCGCAGAGGAAGAATGTCGTCCTTCGGCAGCAAAAGGGACAAGCTGACGCCATAATCACGTCAGCTGCCTCGCTCCAGTCGCGAGCTCAAGCTTGCACTCGAGCTCCTTCGTTTCTCCTGGCGTGAGCTATGCAATCACGATGGGCGACAGATCCTGAGCTCATTGCATCAAAGCAGCGTCGAATTTAATGGCGGGAATGCTCCCAGTGTGATGACTGACGGAGACGAGCAAAGCCTGTTGAAGCATCCAAGCATCAATCAGTTTGATTCAGACACCTTGAGGATGGACGGCGTCACCACTCGGGTGAGGGAATAGAAGCCTGCAGGCCAAGCAAAGCATGAGCAAAGCGCGGTGTGCGTCGGGAGGTGGTGTTGAAGGAGGGAGAGGAGGGGGAGGGTGGGGTCAGGGCGGACATCGTCGCTCGGGGCGTGTGGGAGCGGCAGGCGGCTGCGTCGTTTGACATCTGTATTACGGATCCTGACGCAACGTCTTACGCTTCCAAGAACCGATCGACTAAGTCCATCCTGAAGCAGCACGAGACCGCCAAGAAGAAGAAATACCGCTCGGCCGTCTGCGACTCCCGCGTGACCTTCTGCCCTCTGGTGGTGACGTGTGACGGTGTGTGGGGACACGATGCCAACGTGTTCATCGCCCACATGGCTCATGCGCTGTTGGAGAAGGAGGGGTGGAAGGGTCGGGGGTTCAGTCATGTGTCTGGATGGATTCGCTCTCGCTTGTCTATCGCCCTCGCGCGTGCGACTAGCTTCTGTCTGCGTGGGGGAGGGAGGGGAGGGTTTGCGGGACTGGGGTGTGCTGATGGGGCGGAAATTGATCCCTCCTCCCCTTGAGCCTGTTTGAGTCTGCGTGCTGATGGGACTGTATTTGTATGAGTATCACGGACACACAGACGAGTGTTACGGTTAATGACAGTTCCCCCCCCTGAGCAAAGCGCGTGATCTGATCCATGGCATGTTTGTCTGTGGCTTTGTCATGCGAATCTCTGCAGACGATGACAGCGATACGGGAGCAGCTGCTGCCCCGGGTACAAGTCTATCGGCTGAAGCAGGCTCAGGTAGCCAGCTAACCAACACACCAACCACCTCATCCATTCCATGCAGTCAGTGCATCCAAAGCTCATCGGCTGCTTGCTTGTGTGTGTGCGGTGTGCGTGTGCAGGTCAACAGCTGCATCGACCAACTCCTGTGGATGGACACCGCAGCAGCTGCGATGGCACCACTGGTGCGGCAGGCTGCCAAACACACCACACACCACGGAGCTCTCTCTGTGTCTGTCGAGTCTGCTTTGCTTGGCGTTGCTCTCATCGTGTTGATTCATTCGTCAGATGGTGGCCAAGGTGAGTCGTCAATTTGCTGCGGTGTCCGACCTGCTGGCCGAGTTGGCAGACACCATCAACTCGACCATCGCACTCACACGACATAGCCGCACACAGGTGGGGGAGTGACTGACCACAGGCACAAACACAAGACACAAACTGATGTGGTGTGCACCTCTTATGCGTGTGTGGTGCATGTCCTTCTGTGTGTGTGTCATCAGGCGCGACTGTTGCATATCTCTGACATTCCCGCCAGTCCCATGAGCGTCATCCTGGCACTGTCTGACCTCACCACCGTCTCCAACCTCAAGTCGACAGCCCGGCCCATCAGAAATGCCCTCCGGCCGATCGTCCGCCGCCTTCGGCTGCCGAAGGCCATCGAGCGGGCGAGGGTGGGCGGGGTGGTGCAGTTCGACGATCAGCTGAGCCACGGCGATGTGATGAAGGCCATGTGGGTGATGGAGGAGGGGGGCGAGGGCGGCTGGGGGGAGGTGGGCGACACACTCAGCGTCGCCGAGCACTGCGGCTACTGCCAGCTGCCGGTCACTGTGGGTGCTGCAGATCTGCAGACACACGCCACCAAGGCGGTAAGCACGACACACAGAAGAGGCAATGGGAGAGCCGCTGGATGTGAGCTGTTGGATGCAGGACTTCTTGGCGCTGCCCCGTTTCTGTGCTCAGTGGATGCTCGTCGGTCGCTATGTGGCCCTCCGCCGCCCCACCGGCCAGCATGACGGCACACTCGAGCTGTTCCGCCACAACAACAACGAGGTCCGGATCATCCGCAACGAGCCCAACTTCACCATCACACTCAACCCGCCCCTCCCCCTCCCCAGCCGCCCCGTCCATCCCTTCTCGCAGCACCCGTTCACCCACCACGCCAAGACACACGACCCGCCCGTCCGCAGCTGCCTTGTGTGGCAGAACGGTGTGGGCTGGGCGACGGTTGGCGCCAACAACGGGCTTGTTTACGCATCGGCGAGTTCCATGCTGAAGCGTCTGGTGCTGCGTCACCGGCTGTTGGCTGTGGGCGGCTTCATCGACTCACCAACAACAGTGGTGGTTGACCGGTGAGTGGATGGACGGCACCCAATGAGAGGGCGAATGGCTATGTGGTGCGTTATTGATGTGTGTGTCAGGAGTGTGCGGGGTGGCCACCTCGACCGCATCATGACCCAATCGCAGCACGCGCCCCTCAACGGATGCTCACACGTGATGGCATACGAGTGTGCCAGTGGGTGGTGTGGGCAGGCGCATCGGCTGACGTCATCAGACGACCCATTCATCTCATGGATTTTCTTCATCATCCAACCAGGCAACAACCAGGACGGTACGCATTCATCGACATATATTCACAGCATATGCTCATGCTGTCGTGTCGTCGGCTGTTGTCTGCATGCAGTCCACGTCACCATCCGTACCAGCGAGGCGCCAGCAGCAGGTGTCCCTCATGACGCGCCCTTCACCCAGCGATTCCCCCGGACGGCCGCCAAGGTGCGTCGCGTCCTCGGGCCGACCGCAGCCATCGTGCTCGACGGCCAGGCGCCTTAGACCGTGAAAGTGAGAGGGCCACACACGCAATGGGATGATGATGCGCCTGTGTGTTTGTGTCTGTGGAGACGTGTCTCCTTCATGTTATATATGCAGTTGTGCTGACAAGCTGGATGTGTTGAGGAGAGGGCCGCTCAAGGTGACTGTAGCGTAGCGTACTGCGGATGAATGGGAATGCGAGTGTGTGTGCATGCATATGGGTGGACAAAACCTTGAGACTCTTACTGACTCGTTGCACACCATTTTAGTTAGCATGCAAGCTGTGTTTCGTGGGCCATGCACACAAGCGCACACAAACATACACACAAACATACACACACACACACACATGCACAGCGTCTACCGCTCACTCCACTCGTCCCCCAAAGACCCACCCACCCTTTAGCTAGTGGGCATGCGCGACAAGGGATTTCGATCCGTTGATTCGACCGGTCATTTCGCACGTTTGTCCAGCCACGCCACCGGCCATGGATGCATTACACATTCGGTCCAGGTCTGTGAG